TTTTTGTATTTGCTAACACTGTCTGCCTCTACAATCTCTTGTGACAGTAAGCTTTGTAAAGTCAGTACCTGCTATGTAAAGGTGTGATGCTTTAATCTTTGAACTGATCTCAATACAGTTTCATCACATGCCTCCTTGTTCTAGTATTGTGGGACTTGGTGAGCAATAGTTCTGCGTACACCCTACTCTGCTTTAATGCAGAGTATTAAATGTTGATCGTATTACCCTCTTGATCTGCTCTTCAAATGGCAGACTTCCAGCTTTTTTAGTCTCTCTTTATGAGGCAGCTGCTCTGTCCTCTGAATCATTTGAGTTGTCCTTCTCTATACCTTCGTAACCATGTTTCTCGAGTTGGAGAGACCAGAACTGTCTGGTACACCAGTGTTTTATATAACAGCAAAATGACCTCCTGTGTCTTGGTTTTACTACTTTTCTTCATGACAGCCAAAGTTGTTTGGCTTTTCTGGCTGTGGTTGTGCACAGAGAGCTGTGAACTATGACTCCCAGATCCCTTCTCCACTCAAAGTTGATGTGTGAATGTTAGTGAGGTTTAGAATTCTTTTCCCAAAGCAGAGCATCTTATATTGACCAGGGCTGAAGCCCATCTTCAGCATCTTTGCCCTCTTGCTCAGTTTTATATTGTCCTTTTAGTTCCTCAGCATTGGCATGGAATTTGACTGCTCAGAAGAGCTTAGTATCTTCTGGAAATCTGAAGATTTCACTGTGTGATCCTTCTTTGGGTCACTGAATTTGAATAAACCTAATTCATTGGGAACCCTGCTGCTATGGCTTTTTCATCCAGAAGACAGAGTGACTTCTAAGGCCTGCATGTGCTTCTTATCCCTTGAGCAACTTTCAGTCCACAAAAAACCTCTTTTTTCCAAATCCATTCTAACTTAATTTCTTCAGTAGTCTTTGGTGGGAAGCCTTGTGAAAGACTCTGAAAATCCAAGTCCACTGGATCTTCTATTTATCTGCATGCTTTCCTCTCCACCCCCTGAACTCCCACAGGTAGCAAGGCAGTATTTTCCTTTACAAAAGCTCTGTTGACTTTTTCCCATCAGATGTGTATGGGCACAGCAATCTTATTCTTTTGTATGGACTCTACTGTCTTACCAGGGTTAGAAGTTAGTGTCAGTGGTCCTTTCAGGAACTTCAGGGCTCTGAGGTCGATGCCATCAGATCCACATTACTTAGTGATTTGTCTGGTCAAGTATTCCTGTGTGTACTTCATTTTGATGTGGCTGTTCTGATGTTTCGAAGAACACATTGTTTGCAATACCATCTCATCATCTTCATTGGTAAAGGCAGATGCCAAGAATTTGATGAGCTTCTTTGCTGTGATCTTCTCATCCTTGAGTACTCTTTTCATACCTCTGTTGAAAAATGATCCTGGCAACCCCTAGCTGTATTTCGTCTTTCAAAGTATTTAAAGAACGTTATAGTCTCAGTGTGAGCATGTGTTGCAAGGTGATCTTAAAATTCTTCTTCAGACTCTTAATTTACGATGTACATTTTACCTGCTCTGTTTTCTGGTCTTTTTTGTTCTTATTTTCATTCTCCTCACTTCCAGAAATTTCCTGTTCTTGTCTTCACTCTCCTAACACATTTTGGGCAGCACTTACCTACCTGAAAAGGAATAGAGGGAAGAGTTTAATCATTCAGTGTTTTGATTTGCAGATGCCAATAATGCATCCATAGTCAGTTTACTGTTTTGTTTTCTAAATTAAGAATGTGTTCTTCTTTCTTTGTGTCTTTCTAGCAGAAGCAGAAGTAAAAAAATTGACTTTTGCACAAACGCGGGACTTTACAAACTGAGTGAATTAGAAGTAACGCAATGTGGTTGGCTGTCTTTGTAATGAAAATGATTAGTTTTGAGTTTTCAAGTGTTACATACTAAATATTTAAAAATCTGCCAATATAAAAGAAGATGCCTCTCGTTTGTTAGTGATCACAATAACCACACATCCTATTTATTTTTGTTATTTTGATTATGGCAATGAAGGTTGCATTCAACATTCTTGGATAATTGAACACATATGTACACAGTCTTAATTTTGTCAAATGTGGGTATGATTTTTATAGTTTGATTTCTTCAGTAAAATATACCACTGTGGAGCACTGTGATGTTGTGACTACAATATGGTGAATCATTTTCTTAATTGTTAATGTCTAAAATAGTAAAGACTTAATTCTGTTCTATTCTGTTCTATTCTATTCTTATTACAGTTCCATACTTCTGGAAGGATGGTATATTACTAGATGGTACAAGATGCTGTATGTAGAAGTCAGAGGTTTTAGCAAGCAGATTAGAGGGGATTCTGTAAAAGTGGGAAGTAGCATGGGATTGTGGGATGTGCACATCTTGTTTCTCCTGAATTACAATGGGAAAGTATATAACTGACAGTGGTTATTGCTTATACTTCAGATTTAATGTCCAGCTGAGATTAATTAGAAGAAGGTTTCTCGAAAAAGCAGGATCTTGGAGCACCGTTTTAATTGTTGTTGGGATAGGAAAAGGTACTGATCACCTTAAGATGTAGCTATAGCTTGATCAATGCTTTTGAAAAACTTACCATGACCTGGTTGTAGGTAATAATATGGATCCAAATTCAACAACCTGAGATAGGTCCCTTCCAGTCGTAAATTACTGTAATTGCTGTGACTTGCATGTAGATTCAGGAAAGCATTATTAGCAGATTACCCAATGACTCATTTGGCAGCTGGAAGTTTTCTGCACATTTTAAAGGCTAAATGAAGTTAATTGAGGATATTGGGCCAAAGCTTTATGCTCAATTTTGATGCCTGCAGCCATGGAATTAACAATTTAAGATGCTTAACCCTCAGTTCAATGTATCTGTTGGTGATAAAATGGAAACTGCAGATGTATACTTCATTAAGTGCTTACATTTCTTGGGTAAATGTTTACCAGGACAGTGTTTTTTTAACATTTTGATAAAAAAAATACAGTCTGTAGAATCTGCGTGGTTATTTACTGCCAACTTTAGGGAGTTGATTTTACATGTCTAATTTGCAAAATAGAATTAATTTTGAAGTTACTGGTTTGATTTTAGGGATACTGATGTTTTAAGGGGTGAGTAGAAATAGGAGGAAATGGCTTATGTAGGCAGAAAAATGACATGAAACTGTTAAATCTTTAATGAGTAATAGCTCAAGGTTTGGCAAGATTTATGTTCTTTGAACAGATTTTAAAATTCCTGAAAATATTCAGTGTAATATATGTTCTGTGTCTCCTAGTACACATAGTGCGTTTTAGGGAACGTGGATTCCCTTCCATTTTGGAAATCTTTCCAGTAAGTGAGTACCTGCTGTGTATGTGGTCTACTGTTTTCTTGGAACTGAATTTCTCTGGTCTTACATCTTCCAACCCTTGACAAACACACAAGTCATCTGCTCCCATCCCATGCGATGAGCTTCCAAAATTTCAGAGAGCGATATGAAACAAGTGCTGCACGGCTGCAACAAACAGCTTTGAATAAGTGCTTGTATTTGCTAACTGATTAGATCTAGTTATATTGTGTAAAACGAGCATATTTTAGGGTCTAGTCAGAAAAATTGCAAGCAATCTTAAAGTAGTGTGTGGTGAGCAGAGTCCTTAAGCTGGGAATTAGTACCCTTTGCTGACCAGATGTGTTGGTCCAGGTTGTTGGCATGTGAAGTGAGATGAATCCAAGCTTTCATCTTTGATGTTTCATCTGAGAGGGTTGCTTTTTCAAGAGCATTAATTCAATTGCTTTGTGATTGTTAGAACATATTCTTAGTTTGTGACGTTAGGAGTATCTAAATAAAGGGTGAAAGGTATGTATGGAACAGCGATGTTTCTCATTTCAAGGAAACACGCTTCCTGTATTTTTATTACTTGCGTTAAAGTTAAGGAGACTTTGACATCTGATAGCAGATGATGTTTATGAACTTCATGTCAGGTCTCTAAAACGTCTAGAATAACTTCAAAATACGTTTATATCATGTTATCTAGAAATTGTATTACAAGATTTGCGTCATGTTATTACACTACAAATTGAACATGTTCTGGAAACATTAGAGACCATTTTGGAATCTAATATCCAAATGTACTTGCTTTTTCTCATGCCCTTTATGTGCTTCAAAGCTGAAGAAATTAATTTCAAGACTCAGGCAATTAGTATGCTGTGTTGTGTCATTTCATCTGATTAAGTGGAGAATTTCTGTAAACGGTTGGATGAATCCCACACATGCTGGCAAAAACAGTATACATGTTTAAAATATACTAATTTATGTCTTAGAAATTTCAAAAAATGGTCTTTATGTAGGCAGGGTTCAGTCTGCAGTGGAAAGGTTTGGATTGGAGAATCGTTTTTTGACTAAAAATATTTGCCTGCTAAAAATATCCCTAGCTGTTACTGTTCTCACACTTTCCATATAATAATTATTCTTAATGGTAAGCTGGTTTCATACTGCAGGCTTCAATTCAGCAATGTGCTTGAAGCCACACATGACTTGCATCATACTGATCGTTCCCTCTATTTCAAGGCATAATTAATGTGCTTGAATCAGACACATGTTTAAGTACCTTGTTGAATTAGCACCTATGTGGAAATTGTTTTTCTCCTCAACATAATCAAATTTGGAACTGGAAATGACCTTGTGTAGATGGTTTTTACCTTCTTTATTTTTTTTTTTTCCTGAATTGTGCCGCCATCAGTTGCTGCTCACTTTATTTGTGGGTTTGCAGCTATTCAGACAACTGAATTATTTTGTGTTCATCTTCACAATAATTACATGCCTCTCGAATGCCTTTTCAGTTTACATGTAAAATCAGCATTTTACCGACATTGTAATTGTTTAAAACTAGCAGTGCAATGTCTCGTTGTCCAGAGAATTAGCCTCAATTTAATGTGAATAGATACAAATTTAAATTCACAGGAGTGTAACTTTCATCTACATGCATAGCCATTTAGATATGTATTTACCTTGTTTTCTGTATTTTAATATTTTTTCAGACAAGTATAAAAGAAGGATTACTACTGAAGCAAACGAGTTCTTTTCAGAGGTGGAAAAAGCGTTATTTCAAACTTCGAGGTCGTACCCTTTACTATGCTAAGGATTCAAAGGTAATTTTATGCTATTACTGTCTAATGCTATATACTTGTAACCTCAGTTTTGCTTAGATTTGTAAGTGTAATGATAATATTTATTTGATATGATTTGTTCGTGATTGTTTTACTAAAAACTGCTATATATAAGATGTGTGTTAAATAAACGTCATTGAAAAAATCAAGAGAAGTCACCTTAGTTAAAATTAATTACAGTTATTTTAATATTTTTGACTAGACAAATAATAAATTCATCTTAAGGAGTTGTGGGATTTTTTTGCAGGGTGGCTCTCAGGCAGTTGAATCTAACATTTAAAAAAAAAAAGGGGGCAAAAATTGGCTAATGCTCAGAAGTTATCCCTCAAACTGAATTCCATTAAAACTCTTCTAGTCTGATGCCCATATTGCTGTTAGAGAGGTGGAAATGGTTGCGTCCAATCAAGATAGGAACATTTTCTGCCCAAACTGATATATAAAGGAAAAAGCTGTTTCCCATCAACTGAAATTTTTGGTGGGAAAATTGGGGGTGGGCAGAGGGGAATACTTGTCATCTTTCTGAAAGGCATTTCCTCCCTCCTCCTCAGGGCCAGGACTGAGAGCATTTTGGCTCCTTGGGCTGGCTCAGATTGTGCTGTTCCATAGCAGTGGGCACTTTTTTTTTTACCCTTTTCTTTACCCTGTGGGGCTGTGGCAACTCACGGGAGCTGTAGATGAGGTGTTCCGGGTCTCCATCTTCTTCTATAGCCTGGTCTTCTCAATAAAACTCTTACTAAGGCACGGAACCTCTTTTTCAAGGACTACATGACTGTAATTGCATGGTGCACAGTTGTGTGGGTGTGATGAACCAGGGAAAACATTGTCTCTCCAGGGAGCCCAGCACTGAAATACCCTTGTTGTCACACTTCTCTGCACATGGTGCTACCAGGAGCAGTTTATATAAGGACTTAATAAACATGGCAGATAAGAGCTCTGAGAATAGTGGCATCATCTGTACCATAAAGATGAGAAAAGGAGGTGTAATGAGTAGTCTATTGCATAAATACACTGTAGCATTGAATCTACACATGCTGAAACTTCCCCAGTGTGGTTTCTTTTTCCCATGGTGTGAAAGAGGAAGAACAGGGTATGGCTAAGAAAAGGGGGAGGCATTTTTGTTGATCTTCCTTTCTGTGCTTCGACATCCATCATGATTTTGACAGACTCTAATTAATCCTTTGTCAGAAGCGGGGTTGTTTAAAAAGACATATATTTCTCTTGCTGGAACATTAAACAAAGGAGTGGAGGGGATCCCTTCAGGCCCTTGAGCTCTGTTTTCTTGTATAGATACTGAATCATAGTCACATATTTCATGTTTTTATGTTCTTTTCTGTTCACAGTCTCTGATATTTGATGAAGTTGACCTGTCAGATGCCAGCGTAGCTGAATCAAGCACAAAAAATGTCAACAACAGCTTCACGGTAGGAACCATTATAATACTGGTCTTGAAAGCTGTAGATAGACTATTACTAAGAAAATCAAGAATCCGCTGAATTGCTTCTTCACTGAGAGGGTGGTCAGTCACTGGAACAGGGTCCCCAGGAATGTGGTCATAGCACCAATCCTGTCAGAGTTCAAGGACCATCTGGTCAATGCTCTTAGTCATATGGTTTAGTTTTAGGTAGTCCTGTGAGGAGCAGGGAGTTGGACTCGATGATCCTTATGGGTCCCTTCCAACTACAGATATTCTGTGGTTCTATGATCTTGGTGTAATTTTGTGTGGGGAAGAAAAGTGATATGTTTTGGGGTTTTTTTCTTCTTTCTTTTTTTCCTTTTTTCTTTCTTTCTTTTTTCTTACAATGTTTGGTGTTTTGGTATCCTTTATAATCCCTTAGGCCCACTCAGTATCTCATTCTTCACAAAGGCATGTTTATTATCTATATCAAGACTTCTGGGGAAGATGGTAAAAAATCTCAGGGGCTACAGCTTTAACAGCTTTGGAGACAATATTTATTTTCATGTCCTGTGTAATTTAGGGCAAACAGTGTTTTCTCTAAGGAGTCTTCAAATTCATTTTGAAAAATAATTTGGATTTATAGCTCTCCTGGATTGAAGTGTCATCTGATTTGACTCTGAAATATGGTAATAGTAGTCATCTCGCTTAATCTTTTTGGCTTCTTTCTTTGTGTTTGCCTAACCCAGTCTCCCAGCAACACAGCTCAGTGAAGTAAGACATCTCTAGCCTTGTGTGCACTGGTTTGGAGTTGGAGGGGGGTGGGGGTGGCTTTCCACAAGTACTCCTTACAAATAAAAAGAAACATTTCTTTTTGCCGTTTTTTTTCCCCCTTCCATCTTAAAAAAGATAATCCAGCCTTCCTTAAAATTACTTTTTTCTTTATGTTCTAAGTGCTCTGTTAGCATTCTCCTTGTTAAAAAAAGCAAAAATTAAATCCTTAACTTTAGCTTCCTTCAGTTCATGAACTCCTCTTGTTTTGTTGTCCCAATTAAGAATATTTTTAATACAAACATATGTGGCTGGGATATACACCAAATGACCTTTTTTTTCCAGGAAAACACACCTTTAAAAATTTACATTAAATTTCTTTTATTTTCAAATCCTTTTGTCGTTTCACTTAAATCATTCCCCCTGCTCTCACCCCCAGCCTGTAGAAGCTACTGGTTTGCCTTCTTTTGCCCTTTCTAGTTTGTCTGTTTGGAGACAGAGGTGTGCGTGTCAAGATTTTCCATTCTCTTTTTCTGGATAAGACTCAAATCCTAAAATTAGTCATAACACACAGATTTAAGGTTGAGTTTATTTGTAATGCACATGCTTGCAGAGTATTTTTTGTAACTCAGTATCAGTGTTTATTCACCAGAATTACTTTTCCTTTTGTACTACAAACAAATTGAGGTTAAAGGAAAAGTTGAGATAAATAAATATCTGCTAATTAAAATTGGAAGTTGCTAAACTTAAACCAGTTCATCAGTTTTAGTTTTTTCTTTATTGCTGATGATACTACTTTTCAATGAACAACCAACTCATATCTAGCAAATAGTTTCTAGTGCACAAGCTTGCACTAGGGCGCCTTGTAATAGATCATAGGCGTTTTGTAGTTCTGAGCATCCTCATTTAGGGCCTATGTGAGTGATGACATCAAGCTGTGTGGTGCAGTCGACATACTAAAGGGAAGGGATGCCATCCAGAGGGACCTGGACAGGCTTGAGAGGTGGGCCCACGGCAACCTCATGAAGTTCAAGAAAGCCAAACGCCAGGTCCTGCACATGAGTCGAGGAAATCCCAAGCACAAATACAGGCTGGGCAGAGAATGGATTGAGAGCAGCTCTGAGGAGGACTTGGGGGTGTCAGTAGATGAATAACTGAACATGAGCCGGCAGTGTGTGCTCATGGCCCAGGAGGCCAACCAGATCCTGGGCTGCATCAAGAGAAGCATGGTCAGCAGGTGGAGGGAGGTGATTCTGCCCCTCTGTTCTGCTCTCGTGAGACCCCACCTGGAATACTGCATCCAGATCTGGACCCCCCAATGCAAGAAGGACATTGAGCTCTTGGAGCGGGTCCAGAGAAGGGCCTTGGAGATGATCAGAGGGCTGGAGCACCTCCCCTATGAGGACAGGCTGAGAGAGTTGGGGTTGTTCAGCCTGGAGAAGAGAAGGCTCCGGGGAGACCTTATAGCGGCCTTCCAGTACCTGAAGGGGGCTACAGGAGAGATGGGGAGGCACTCTTTATCAGGGAGTGTAGTGATAGGAAGAGGGGTAACAAGTTTTAAGCTGAAAGAGGGTAGATTTAGATTAGATATTAGGAAGAAATTTTTCACTGTGAGGGTGGCGAGACACTGGCA